TTCTCCCCCATACGTCACTTAGTTTTTACTGTTTTTTGACTAAATAAATCAAATTAAATCTAGCTTCTGTAGACAGTCTTTGTTGCTCCTCTAACCAACAATTAACAGACCACCACATTGAAAACCCCGAAACTATCACTACAAGTGGGAGTCACCCAAATGAATACCCCCGCCTTTCTAGCAGTGGTCAGGAGAATTCTTCTGTGGAGGAGGCTCTGGCAATGCAAACCTTCGTACAGTAGCAGCTCGTGGACTGTTCTCTGGAGGGCCAAAGCATTTTTAAAACATGGAAAATGCATAGTTATTAATCCACATCATTTCAATACATCTATTATTTTACTGCCATGTTTTATTTTATTAATCCACATAATTTCACTACATGTATTGTTTTGGAAACATTATCCTGATTTTTGTCACTACATCAATGTGAAGATTAAAAGATTCTTTACAATTACTACTCAGAGTTAAAGATGTGTTAATTTTTTCTAGAAATTGAAAACTGAGGACACTGTCTTTGTTTTCTCGATTGTTCATGTTTGGTTTTTTTCCCCCTGAAGATGTTTTAGAACACACTCCCCTTCCTTTATCCAACTATCACCACCTCAAAACAGCAAGCATATGAAACAAAACTGTTCTTCTCATAGCGGTCACATAACCAGGAAACTTTGTCATACAACAAAAAATTAAATTTTTGAGTTAATTATCCATGACTCTTCCTGGTTGATTTATTTTGTTGGATGTTTAATTTAGGTTCTGAGTGACTACTCTCTTTTAATTTAATTTTCTCAGGTGAGCACAATGAGCTAAAAAGGTTTTTTTTTTTAATTTGCGAACAGGAGCACTCATTTTGAAGCATAGACGCATGTGGGAATGATGACGTAATACACTGCGTGAGTGGAAGACTCGAGAACTCAATTGTACTATGCCCCAGTCCTGCAGCGTGCAAGAAGGAAGTAAACAGAGAGGGGGGGAAGCATGGTCTTGGTTGCCATGGCAACCCAGGTTAATCATAGGGCTCTTTTTACAAAGCCCTAGCCAGATGGCTGTGAGTGTCAATGTGTGTTTAACACCGGAAAGCGTGTTGCAGAAACAAGTGTTATATTCAGCAATATTTGAGCACCCATATACAAATTGTTTACTTTTAAAGATTTAAATAATCATGTCGATTAATAAAAAAGACAGGAGGGGTGATCCCCATAAGCCCATTGGCACGAAACACTCCCTCTAGGTTGCCTCCAGGTTGAACTATGGAGATGTGGAAGATAAAAGAAACCTAAGCATTAAAACCCTATGTGGCTCTCCTCTGGTTTACTTTAAATAGTTTTTGTACCCATTTGAAAGACCACAAATTAATGCTCTCTCACCATGCTCTATAATGTTTATGGAAAAAAGTTAACTCTATCCTTCAGAGGTTTTCTCTGTATTAGATTTGCTTCTTAATATTCCTATGCCATGGTGGTGTTGTCTTTGGATTTGTGATTTTTTCTGTAAATCGAAGTCCAATCCAATCTTCAGATAGTTTATGCAGGTTAACCTTTCATCCCTCTATTTCTTACCTTTCCACCCAGACGTCATATCAGAAGTATATTTTTAACTTACATGGTCAACATTTTGCATCGCAGGAGACTTCAGTGCCCACAATTCCGTACATGTAGCTCCTCTCAAACTTGTCAGAGGAGACCTATTATGAAAGTAGTTACAGAGAACTAACTCCTTCTGTCAAACATAGGACAACCCACCAATTTTTCAGTTATCTGTTAAATAGTTTCTTGTATCAGTTTAGTCATCTGTAGCCAATCACACTCTGCCCAACCATGGTCTGGATTGTCTTCCTTTTATGTGTTGATGGCTTCACAACTGCAATAGATTTTATCCATCAACTTCATGAAAACACATCAAATGTCTTGTTACCACAACAAATTTATTATATGGATGCAGTGAACCCTCTTGATGTCCCAGATCCCACTTTACCTCTTTACTTACTTTACCTTCTCCTACTTACCATGCTACACCCTTCTGAATGCTGACTGGTTGAAGATGCGTAAAGTTAATGGAACCCTTACTTCATCTGCTGTACTGGGGATTTAAGGAAATAGCAGTAAATATATGAAGGGGGGATGACTCCTACTATTAGTTTTCTAGCTCTTCTTCCTAATCCCATCTTTCCTTGTTAAAAGTATGGAGAACTGAGCTTGATTTTTCGGGTGGTGGGGAAGAAACCTACAATGTGGCATTCTCAATGGGTGTACATTCTTCCATCATTCCTCCAGTGCAATTATAAAATGCGTCTTTTGGACCGGATTCATAACTTCAGTCTGAATCATATACCATAAAAAGCTGGACAATTCTTTCTTGACTTTTTCAACGGAATCTGGTATGCGCATGCCATTCTAAAAATACGGCAGAAAGCAGTTGCCATCCCAATTCTTTAAGGAAGAAAAGAACTGATCACCACCATCAAATTGCCTCTCAATCTCTGTAACTAGCTGTGTCAGTAAACTTTTTGATTGTGTGGTAAACCACTGCATGATTTAGACTCTGGTTTGGGCAGCTTGCTAACTGCAGTCCAATGTGGATTCAGAAAGTAACAAACACCCTGAACTACTTTGTCTTTAATATATAAATTCTTTTATATATGTGTGGGTAACAAGGTATTCTGTAGTTACTCATTCCTGTGTTTTCTGGGTCTCAAACTTTATTGTCACACTGTTTGCCACCATCAATAATTCCAATAATAATAATCATTGTTAATGAATTAGACAGAACATCACTATTTGATATTTTTTGTTTAACTTGAAACATGAAAGGCAGCTCCAACTTGTCATTAAGTTTGCGTCAATGGAGCGATTCCAAGGGTTTTAAATTTTCCATGATATTTCTCCAGTGACATGTACATCTGCAGAATTTGTCTCCATAACAACCCAAGGCTTCTCTAAGGGCCATCAGCTTCCCTTTGTTTGACAATCTAGATTCCTGGAACTTACTTTTGACAAATCTCTGGCATGGCATAAGCACATTCCTTATTTACGTCAGATAAATAGATACGTTTCTCTATTAATTATACTCTGCTTCCTTACTGTGTACTTATAGGGGGCAGACTGCCTTTGTCTTTGCAATATAAAATACACATTTGCTCAGTTCTGGACTAGAACAGAACTGGCACCTTTTGCACCAGTTGCATTGAGTACCTCTAGGTACATGCTGATGAACCACCTGTCTGCGAAGATGCAATAATCTACTTGAAGCATATGGAGCAAAACATTCAGGCTTATTGTATTATCCTAATGAAATAATAATAGTTGTCATTAACATCAATATTATTTATTTCAATTGCAGCTTTCGATGGTTGAGCTGTAATCATCTGTTTCTAGTACAAGAAATAAAAAAAATTAAAACATGAGTCGAAAACAAAAACATAAGGATTTCCAAAACAGAATAAAGATTACTGCAATTTTAAAACAGAATTAACATTTTAAGAAATGAAAGAAAAGAAAAGAGGGGATGTTAAATTATTTAATATTACAGTAATTTTGAATCTATGCTTTGAAGTGTATGAAATTGAATTAAACCTATGAAATTTTGTAATAGAATGAAATGTAAGTTGAGGTCTATATTACCTGCTGTATGAAAGCTACAAAATCACTGTGGGTTTGGGTGTGCCAAGCAGCTTAAGTACTAGGGAGTGGGGAGAAGGAGGGTTAATGACAATATACACGCTTGAAAACAAAACTTGTGTAAATTTCACTTTGCCAATAATTTTCTTCAGACAGGCCACACATTCACTCCACACAGATATTTGTATATTAGATATAGAAAATCAATATCACACCAGATTTAACTGTGGAAAACCTTCATATTCATTAAAATGATAAACTACTGAATGAAAACATAAACCATAACCCCTCCCTTCTACCGAAATTATTATCAGACACCACCCTCACACCGCACACTTCCGGGTCGGCGCAATAGACAGCACACTGCACCCAGGCCATTAATCCTCCTCCTCCTCCATCCCACTGCCCGGTACTTAAGCCCACCCGAACCCGCATAGTCGTTTTGTGGCTTCCATACAGCAGGTAAGAAATGGCTTGACTTACATTTCATGTTTTCTGTTACATCATTTCACATGTTCTCTCTAATTTCATCCACTTTCAGGTATAGATTCAAAATTACTGCAATATTAAAGATTTATCACCCCCTTTTTTCTTTTATTTTCTTTCTTAAAATGTTAATTCTATTTTTATAAATTATTAGTAATCTATTAATCCTAATGTTATTGTTGTTATTTTGTATATTAGAAACTAATGATGACGGTTAAACTATCGAAAGCTTCTATTGAAATAAATAATATTGTTAGCAATGGCAACTTCTATAATTATTTCAATTTAAATGCCAACAACAACTCACCACAAGACCAATACAGTGTATCATCTTAGTCAGCTTATTTTCTGTTCTAAGTACTGATTCTTGTACTCTCTGAAACCATTACTGCCTCAACCTCCAGGTATCCATTTTTAGAAAAGGCTGAAAAACTTAAATGTTCTCCTTTCTTTCCTAGTGAAAATCAAGCATAACCCCCTTCCTGAAAACTCCTCTACTGTTTTACAGTTCATAGACAACCACTGGAATTCTCCAATTTTGTAATTAAAAATGTACAGCGAATAAGGCCTTATATTCCAATCAAACTATATATTGGGATTAAATTTTAGTTGAAGTACTGTCTTTAAAGAATACAGATGAATTATCTTTTTCTAACATATGGAACACTGTTGAGATTTTGTATGTTGTTATTTTAAAGGCAATCATATTTGAGAAAATTTTTAAAATGTCCTTAACAATTATCTCATGGTTTATTTGTCTTTATATTTGTTTCAAAAATAGATAAAGTAGCTAATGCGTTTCACATGTGGTTCTTTGTTTCTCACCTTTTATGTTCCTTATTTGGCGAAATGGAAGAGATTGCTTTTGTGGAGTGTGAATTGTATTATTGTGTGATGCAGGTGCTGAATCTGAGTAATAATAAATTGTTAATGCTCCCACCGGAGATTGATCTGTTGCCATTACTGGTCAAGTTGTCTGTGGCTCACAATCAATTTGGTGCAGCTAGAAATTTGTCCTCTTGGTCATGGTTGCATGGGGAACGATTGGCTCGTCGACTGAAAGATCTGGATCTCAGTGGAAACGAGGTAACATTGCATATGTGAATGCATGTGCATTTCATACATTCAAGCATTTTCATTAAATATCATATATTTCATCATTGGTTGGGTCAGACCAGACAAAATTGCTTTTTAAAAAGGCGTCCTGTGGTGGAAAGTGGCTGAAAGTCCTATGGTCTTTCACAGCCCTACTGTGAAAATTGATTCTTTGATATAATTTAAAGAAGGTGCAATCCCATGCACTGACTAACACAACTTATCTTGCATTTCAGCACAAAAGTTTCAACATTGATGTAACGTATTTCGTATTTTGTAAAAATTCAGGAGTCTTAATGAAAGACTTTTACCATTTTAATAAGTGTGTTTTGCTCTTTTCAAATGAGAAATTTACACAAAAATTTGAAAAAGTTTCATAGGAAATACCACTCAAAATTAAAAGATTTCTTTATTAAATTGTTAAGGCTTAGAATTGAGCCAGATCAAAGAGGGAAAATGCATTTTTGAAAGAAAAAAAAATAGTGTCTCTTTTGAGCACTAGTGTTGTGTATTGATGGACAAAGTGACAAGTGTTTGTAGGAAAAAACACTTAATAGAATTAGGTCTCTTTAAACATATATTTCTGTCTAATGCCAAGACTGAATACATAACTCTATATGATGTAAAAGAGCGAGTGCATATTGACACCCATCCACTAACAAACAAACCAGCGACTAAACAAACAAAATAATGTTATTGAAGAGGTATTAAATTATTATTAATTTTAGTGTACAATTATGAGTTCAAAACAGGAAAACAATATTGCCTTTAATATGTGTGGTACGTGTGTGCAGAATCAAGTTGAATGTCTCTCTTTTGCTTTTAGATATCTTTCCTGCCTCCTGCTGTGTGTAATCTTAGGGCCTTGGAGACATTAAATGTAAAGAATAACAAGCTGACAGTGCTTCCAGGTGCACTTGGCACTCTCAAATGCCTCAAGTAAGGACTAAATAAAAAATCTTATTGCTATTTATCTTTGTTCTTTCATCTGATTCTTAATTTCTGTATTCTATTCATGGCAAACCTTCCTGTATGTTTCCATTTTATCTTTCTTTGTGTGCATTAGTAATAAATTAATCTTATCTTGCATTATAGGCCTTTGTAACAAAAATTTGATGAGAAAGAAAATTGGTGGGAAATACTTGCCAATTAAAAGCAGGCACATTTTCTCCTAAAATTCCTTTCCAAATTACATTTGTATTAATGGATTTCTAATAACTTGTTTTCAATCCAATTTCGACTAGCAAAATTTCAAAATGAGATGTGCTTTAGATTCAGAGGGGCACAACATTATATATTTATTTATAGTAGATAAAGCCAGCAGGTATACACCCAATTACAGGCTTATGAAAGCAAAAATTAATTCTTAGTTTGTAATGGTGGTTACATATTTCTTCTCAGAATGACAAATCACGGAAATAGAGTCTGCAGATAAATCAGTCTCTTTAGTGCAACTGGCTACGAAATTATTTACATTTTCTATCATTTTATAAAGAGGAAAGTTTAAAATAAACTTAAATGTAGAAGTGAAGTGATTCAAAGCCTTGTAAGAGTATGGTGCATGCCATGGAACCTACAGTGTGATCTGATCAACTGGACAACTAATAATGTAATGAAGAATTTCAATAAAGGAAGAGATAATGATCTGTTTCTCCTGTCAGCCAGGCTCATAATATTGAATTTATCCCAAAGAAATTGCTCCTCAATGCAGGTATGCACCAGTAGTCCTGGAGTACAGATACTTCAAAAATCTGCGTTGACATTTTTCCAAAACTTAAATCCAATCCCATCTGGAGACCAGACCTGTGATGCACACCCGAGTTTTGATCTAACCAAAGCGAAAAATACCACTTTCAGTATATCAAGATTACAAATATTCCTGCCTAGCCTGATTATTAAGGTTATTCTATTCACAATATTTACAAGATCCTCAATATGATGTTTACTATTAAGATAGCTTATTATCAAAAATAATACCTAGATACTTTATTACAGAAGCTGATTGCAATTGTCTATCAGCAATCTTATAACTGTAAGCTACTTTCTGTGACCTATAAAACAGCATGACCTTACACTTATTTGGTTTTAGAGTTAATTTGTGTAAAATACAACAATCATAAAAGGTTATCAAATTATCCTAATGCTTATTACAATTCTCAATTAAGGTGCTAGGTAAAATATTTCATGTCTTCCCCTAGGCCGGAAGGCAAAACAAAGAGTTCACATTAAAATCATTAATTGTAATGGCAAAAAGCATTGGTTCAAAAATTGGAACCTTGCTGAACACATGTAAATGATGTAAATGGTGAAACGTAGCCAGCATTTTGCACAATCATGGCTCGAGCCCTCAATTAAGACTGCATGAAGTATACATAGTTATGAGAGATATGTAATAGAATCAGTTAATTTAATATAACAACCTGGTTTAAGACATCCAAGCCATCATTTATGAAAACGGGGCCAAAAATCTATATATGATCATAAATCACACCCGGATCTCAAGATTTTGTTACTCTTTCCACTAAATGATCATCAATATTATAACAGAAATCCAGTAAGTGTTTAGATCTACTAAATGTCATATATTCACATTTACTAATATTAAGGTCAAGAATATTGTGAGTACACCAATTTGTTAACGATTGCAGATCACATTGCAAGAAAAGATAATCATCCAATTTCGTGACTTCAGAGTACAATTTCATGTCATCTGTAAATAATAAAAATTTACCGTTAGTACCGTTTTCAGATCGTTGACAAATAATAAGAAGTGCAACAGTCCCGGATGGGATTTCTGAGGAACACCAGAAGTAACATAAATATCTCTTGATAAGAAAGTTTTGTTCTATATTTTACATTCTGTTTTCTATCTTGAATATATTCTTCAAGTCAATTTTAGATATTGGTCTTTGAATATTTAGAAAAGATCGATTTTCTGATTTATGGATTGGTATAACATTACCCCCCCCCTTTTTTTTTTTTTGGCCATAGTAGGCAGAACTGAACCTTGTTCAAGAGAAAAGAGGTAATGCAGAATTGGTGCCAAATTTGTCAAACAATTTTTCAAAAAAATCGCAGGAATACCATCCGGGCCAGGATTGCCCCTGACTATCAATTAGTAGCTGTAAAGACCTCCTATTGATAACTGTCAATAGACTGAGATTTAAATTTATTAATTGAATTGAAAGAGTCAAAATCAATATCATCTTCGTATTTGTGAACAGATTCAAAATATTTCGCAAACAGGTTTATAATTTGTTGAGGAGTATCAGCAGAATAATCATCTGGATACATCAGATTTGGAATTCTATTTACACCTCAAATGGAATGTGAAAACTTCCAAAAGGGTTTTGATGTCATGCTGTGAAGAGTTTTCAGTATCATTTACAAATTTAGAATAATCTGCAACAGATTTATCTTTACAAATCTTATGGAGATACGAGAAGGCAGTATAATCTTTATCCAGAAGTGATTTCTTATAGCTAATATGTGCATCAGACTTTTCCCTCACTCTGGTAAACCGGGGATGGTAAGTAATGGGTGTAATAACAAATTTAGATACATGTCTCAATGTCAAACGGCTCAAGATATACAATTTGAAGAAAATGTTCTAATGTCTTCAGAAATTAACATGAACCAATCAAATTACAACAAAACATCATTTATAGAGGGATATTATGCGGAGGGATATAACTGGTTTCCTTTGAAAAAAGTGAAGAAATAACTTCATCAGCTGAAAAAGTACATTCTAAGGCGGGATGATAGACATTCTCAAAAATAATTGACTAATATGACTTCCACAATTGAGAAATTTGAATCGTAAAAAATAATAAATCTTTTCTGCCATTTTTATTAAATTGTATTAAATTTAAATAATTAAGAGTTTGAAAAAATATGAAGGTAATTTGTACAGCAATGCTAATCGCATTTACATAATCACAATGATACCATCTTTATCATTATAACATATTATATTTGCTAAATTAAAATCTCCAGTAAGTATAACCTTAGCTGTCAGATACCACTCAAAAATACATTCAACCTCAATTGTAAAGACATTATATGATTCAAGGGAAGAATTTGGTGAAAAATAAACAGATTCTATCATAAACGAGTTAAACCTGAAACTGACAATAGTAAAAATATGTTCAACATTTGCAACTGGTACTTTAATCACAGGGCTGCATAGATTACGATGAACAGCAAATCATAACACCTCCGCCCCTTACGCAATCGCTTGTAGCAGCTTTTTGATCCAGACGATAAATCATGTGGTTACAAAGATTTAACTCAACATCAGGAATACCATCACAGAGCCAGGATTCCATGAAAATCAGGATATCTAAGCTATCGTTTTGTGGTGAAGACTTAGAAAATGTGACCAGTTTAGGCTTCAGTCCTCTCACATTATGGTAATAAAGTGAGAAGCAATGGGATTGCCTGCAATTCAGTTTTGCTGAGGGGCTGAAAAATGTCTCCTGCCAGATGATTCATCGATCAAAGTAGGAACCCCATTTATAAACCTCATTTTCAAGGAGGTATTTCCACTATTTGATTCATCATTTAATTTAGAGATTTCATCATTGGACTGGACATGTCTTGCAGTACAGTAAAGACCAGTTTTCGCAGCTCCTTTATATTTACGTTTATTCTTAAAGATGGACAGGACAGCATTGTTATCTGGTTAAATGACTCTCAAAGATCTACACTTAGAAGAGATAGAGCCAGAAGATGAGAAACTCGTTTTTTGCAATTATATGTCATAAGCGAAGAAGAGAAATGTGATCAAATTTTAAGTCCGAATTCATTTCAATTAAAATACTGATTGTCTGTGAGCTACTATGCATTATTTTGGTGTCAAGTCGCACTACTCGACCAGATCGAAAATAAGGATGTTTTTCAAACGATGTTGACAATCGGCAAACTCTAAATACGTTTCTTCAAATTTAAATATATCTAATGACATATCTCTAATGGACTTAGCTCTTAAATCTTGTCAACAAGCGGGTCGTGAGATTTTTAAATTTCATGAAACCTTTACACCAAATTTGCAAGCGTAAATTTAATATCATCATTAACATCATTCTCCTTGCTTCCATGTACATTAATAGTACGCTGATATATTGCAAATTTGTGAAAATATTTGCAAAAATTGTGAAAATGGCAACGTAGCGTAGCGATCACATCATCAAGCAGATTCAGTTCCTTACGTGAAGATTACTGATTTTGCAAGTTCCTCTATGTGAAAATTACTGTTACATAATCATGTGATACACTCTGTAGTTACCTTGCAATAAATATATTGAGTGTGTGTGGGTGCTTGTGTGCAGGTGTTGTTTGAATTGTTGTTGTGCTCATATAATGGGTATTATTGGATATTACTAATTTATTGTGTTCTTTTTATCCACAGAACCTTTATAGCCTCTGACAACCAATTGGAGTTCCTTCCTGGATCTATTAAGCTTTTGAAACTTTGGTTTTTGGATGTCACAGATAATCCTTTTGTGTTCAGAACACCGAGATCTGTGCGCTTGGAATACAAAACACCTTCTTTGTTGGAGTGGGCTGCACGATGTGTTATCAATAATAGGTATACATGTTCGATACTATTAACTATTACCTTTAAAGTCATTGATCAACAGTTTTTTGTTTTATTGATGGTGTTGAGTAACTGAATGCAAATAAGGTATTGTATTTAATTAATAGTGAAATGAGATTGTTGTTAATTTTTTTGATGATTATAAAATTTCTTGCATGTCACTATTACAACACGTTTTCTTTAAAAAATTAATTTCTTTATGTTTTCTGTCAGGAAACTGCCATAATTGCCCTTCTTTCACGAAAATGCCCCAAAGGAATTATTAATTGCTGTAACTTGCGTGATAATCTAATTAAATTTGACACCACACAAGTTTTTGGTAACTATGACTATGTTATTCATTGAATGGATTGATTGATCCATAAAATTATAATTTTATAAAAGAATCTGAGATCTTTACCTGCGTAACCCTATTGTCCCCCACTAATTCAATAAATGTGCTTGATTTAGCCTTATTATGACACTTATAGTATACAGTTAAGTAATCAGTAGAAAAAATATAATCAACTTGGGTTCAAATTATTCAGAAAGCACTTTCATAAAAGCAAAAATTGTGAAAGGGAAATAATGAAACAGAATTACAGCACAGAAACATGTTACACCTATGGTACTTCCAAAAACATTTGAAAGAACCCCATGACCCCTTATTGACACTCCAACACTTGTATACTTTATTGAATTCATGTAGTAATGAATTTTGTTTAATTTGGGCATCAGTTATCAATAGACAATGTGTAATTTCTGTATGAGAATGTTCTCAATGACTTTTTTCTGAGAAATTAATCATTACTACAGATGAAAAATAATTTGTTTAGATACACGTTTGTGATTGTCCTTGGAACACATAACACCAATTAAAAGATAAGTAAAAAATGAAACTACACTTGTGGCAAACATTATTGTATGGCAATATATGAAGTTGATTCTTGCTAATGTCACAAATATACAAGAACAAAATCTTGTTTGAGGCTTTAAAAAAATTATCATTAAAAGAGGTTTTGTTTATTGCTTCTGTTTATGAATCACTACAAAGTCAGTGCGAGAGTTGGAGAATTCCATGGAAGTTCAGGTCCAAGGTTTCTCGTGATGGATTGTCCAGGTACAAAACCATATTGATAAATTATATTATGACCAGTTTCAAGGGCAAATTCAAGAATGTTGGGCTAGGATGCATCCCATTATCTCACCTATTGTATTTGTTAAGCTTACAGTCCTATAATTTCCTGGTTCCAGCATATCTCCCTGTTTGTAATAGGTGCAGTATTCCAGTCATCTAATGGTGTCTCTTGAGTCTAATGACTTCGAAAATTCTTTCTGTAGAGTCAGGACTATTTCATTGGCACATTTCTTTAATGGAATAGGAGGGTTACTATCCAGCCCAACTGCTGAGCCTGTGTTAAGCGGTAATGGTATCTTCATAATATTGTGAGTAAAGTATCAAACTGGACATCTTGTAAAGTTTCCTTTATCCTGAATGCGGATATATTTGGTAATATGTCTTTGGAGTTCCATGGCATAGACATCGTCATTTTGTAACATCTGATAATTTTTTAGTGGATTTGAGAATAGTTTGGTGTCGTCAGCATGGCAGTTCCAACTTGAAGACGAATCATCACCTAGGTCACTAGTGTATAGAACGAAAAGTATCGGGCCTAGAGCTGATCCTTGGGGAACACCACTTTTACCAGCATGAGGTATCGACAGTGTGTTTCCAATCGCCACCTGAAATGTTCTTCCCGATAAATATTCCTGAATCCACCTCAATAGCCTACCTCATATACCCAAAGATGAGAGTTTGTGAATGAGACGTTTATGTGATATTTTATCAAAAGCTTTAGCAAAATCTAGATAAGTGACGTCAGTTGGTTGTTTCTCACCCAATTCTTTGATTCATATATCTAGTGACTGAAGTAAATTTGTAGATATGGATCTTCCTGGAATGAAACCATGTGGTTATTTAGGGATGATAATATTTTCAAATTCATAATCTAAAAACCGTTGAACAATCATTCTTTCTATGACTTTACTCACGGTGCTTGTCAAACTTATTGGTCTGTAATTTTTTAGTCCTTTCTTGAAAACTGGGCTAGTTGTAGTTCACAATTTTTCAGATACACAGTTGCAATAGCATCAGGACTAGTGGATTAGCTTGCATTCAGTTCGCTAAGTATCGATGTTTGAAAATTCAATATTTTTAATAATTCTGGTACATTTCACTTCAATAATCGGCAATGGGCCTTCTGGTTCAACTGTACATACTTCTCTGAAATCATATGAAAAGCTTTCCACAATATCACTTGGATCAGTTTTCATTGAATCCCCATTCAGAACAATCATTTGTGTATATCACTTGAAATTTGCAAAATTACAAGTATCAAAACTATTCCTAAACGCTTTTTAAGGCTATCCTTTCCATCACAGTCAGCTGGAAATGTATTCCAGGCATTGACACCCTGATTGGCAATAAAATGCGATCTCTGTCACGTCCTCGTTTTTTCTTTTCGTAGCTTCATCATGTGTCCACGTAGTCTGGAATCTATGGATCTCGTAGAGAGAGCATCATACCCTGGTATATTACATGATCCATTCAGAATATTATTTGTTCTATCATATCGTTCCTGGTTCTTCTCTGTTTGAGTGTCAACAGAGTCATCATTTGGCATCTTGCTAGAAACAATCTTCTCTTGGAATCCTGATGACATGCTTCTGTACCTTTTTTAATTGCTTGATGTCCATGTTGTAGTTTGGGGACCGTACCACATTGGCATGCTCAAGTATAGGTCTTGTATATGTCACAAAATCTTCTATTGAGTGATAACTATTACACCGTTTGTAAGCTATGTGTACAACAGCTTGTCGCTGCCACTATTAATAAATAATAATAATCATCATCATCCTCATCATCATTAGTACACACAAATCATTCTTTTGCGCTGTAGTGTCCAAGATTTGGCCTGCGATGGTGTAAGGAATCCTTGGATTTTTCTTTCAAAGAGGAAAACTTCACTTTTAACAGTGTTCAGGAGGAGCTAAGAATTCAACCAGTTTTCTATTGTAGTAAGATCATCTTGTAACTTCTGATGGTCTGTCAATTGATTTGCAAAACATTTAGAATTGTATGCATCGCAGTTCCAGTTCGCAGATAGTCCATTTCCCAGATTGCTCGTTTACAAAATAAATAACATTGGTCCCAGAACCAACCCTTGAGGAAACTCACTTGTAACATGTCGTGATGTTGACATCTCTTCTTTAATACTCACTAGAAATGACCTACTCGAGAGGTATTCTTGAATCCATGTAAGCAATTTTCCCTGTATCCCCGATGATTCTCATTTTGCCATTAATCGTTTGTGGGGAACTTAATCAAATGCTTTTGCATAATATAAGTATATAAATAAAATAGGTTGCCATTGATTCATGGCCTTGGTCCTAGCATCAAGCAAGCTAATCAAATTTGCAGTTGTTGATCTACCGAAGACAAATCTATGTTGCTGTATGGGGATTAGATTATTTCTACTAACATGATCACGAAGTCTTTCAACTATTATTCTCTCCATAACCTTCCCAACAATACTTGTCAGACTTCTCAGCCTGTAATTTTCTGGTAACTGCTTATCGCCTTTCTTAAAGATAGGCGTAACTACAGCTTCTTTCCGTGCAGAAGATAGTTTCGCTGTATCTAGTGAAAAATCTATAAACTACTGAAGCTAAATGCTTTGCACAGTTCTTCAGATAAACTGTCGGAATGCCAGCGAGATCAGTCGAGTATCTTGCGTCTAATCTTTGAAGTGTTTGAGATGTTTCAATATTTATAAATTCAATATCTTCAATTGGTTTAGTATATTTTTGTCCAATGTTTGGTAGTTGATTCGCAGGTTGTTGTGTAGATCTCTTCAAAGTAGTCAGCTCTCTGCAATTTCGGTTTTGTACAACTTGCATTTACATTTTTCTCTCCTTGTCCTAATGTCCATATTGAGCCTGTTGGCGACTCCTATACTCCTTGTAGTCTTCAACTGTTCCAGATCTCCTAAACCTGTACCATGCTCAGCATTTCACTCTGATTTTCTTCTTGACATCATGATTTATCCAGCATTTGTCCATATTTTTATTTTTCATGATTTTTGGCGCGTTGGTAATGGGTAGTTGTTTAGACGTGTCACAGAATTTTTCATTGTAATCGATTCACGGTATTCATCAAGATGCTGTACCACTGACCAATAGCCTGCTTTGGGGTAGCTCCATGCCTTGCCCTGACAATTGTGGGTGAGTTAAAATCTCTGATAATTATAACAGGCACATGTCTTATCAATTTTTTCAAAGAGTTTAAAATCAGATTAACTCAGTCTAGTATCAGATGATGTATGTCTGTACACTCCGCTGATAGCAAATTGTAATTTTCCATAACCTTTCTACATCATGGTTTTCAAAACCATGCATCATCATTACTCGTACTACCACTGATCCAATTTTCTGTCTCACGTAAATCAGTCCTCCTGTCCTCCCCCTCCCCATATATTTGGTCTAACCCTGTGATAGATAGAGATATCAGGAATATGAATCAAAGTGTTTGCGATATTTGGATTAAGCCAAGATTTCATAACTATCATGATATCTGGTTGTACAGAGTAAACTCCTGAGAGAAATTGGTCGAACTTGGGAAAGAGAGATGATATATTGGTAAACAAAATTTTACGATTAATCACTTGATTGTTCGTTGCTGCCCCACGCCATTTCCCTTCCCTTGAACAATCCACGGGTTACCTCTAATATACTTGATAACTAGATTCGGATTCAATGTCTGTGTATCAATCAGTTTTTCCTTGAGATTTTCAACTCCTTTCTCTGCATTGGGGTAAGATCATTGTTTACTGTTAATCCATCGAGTAATTTTTTACTCTTTCTCAATAGCTCTGTGGGCATTATTCAAGAAAACCTTTATAGGTCTGGGATTAAAGGCCTCACGATCTAATTTGCCCAATCTCACGGTATAC